TTGTCTTTATTATATTTTTTCTAAAGTTGCTGATTACAGCTAGTAACATGACAGCGCTCACATTGCAAGATGTAGTCCCCTGCAGAGCGGACTTTTCTTGCCATTGTGCACAACAGTAGTGAGTAGATTATATCCTTCAATTATGTAGTCAGCCGGTTTTCGTGTTGAAAATATTTTGGAAGCAATTAGGTTGAAATATAATTAACTTCTCTATTCACCCCCGTGATGCTTTATAAATCATGTACATCTATACAATTTTATATATATACATTTTTGTATTATGTTTCAGGAAATTTTAGGATCTGTTTTGACTTTGATTATGCAGAGGTGACTGTTTATTTCTGTTTTACTGATCCTAATGTCTAATGTTTCATGTTTTTTTAATGTATTTATTTGTGTGCCTTAATTATGAATAATAATATGATTGAATAAAATCATAGTTAATATGCATTGTGTTTATTTAAATCGCCAGTTATATCCTGTCAGAATTTCCACAAGTCTTTTCTAGCAAGTATAGAGTATAGCTAGATTTTTATCATTTTATCAATGTTTTTTTGTGTGTGCTCATGTCTTGAGCAAATGGCAATCTCTCATATTACTCTTAAAGCTTACAGGAAAACTACTGGAAAATAATAAACCACTTTTTCACAACTCTTTCCATATATAATGCACACAAATTAATAAAAATGAAAAAATAAAAAATACACGCAAAGAAATATTCTGCTTCAAACGTCTGTAACTAAAACTATAGACAGGTGTCAGCCTCTCCAGGAAGACTCACCACCAATCAGGAGCCTCTCATTCTTCATTTTTAATCCTATAAATTCTGCCCCACCATATGTGTATGGTAGAAATAGTATATCCTCTAGTTGCAGTCTCCTCATCACTTGGAATGAGTTTTGTGCCTGCTAGCAATTTATACACTGTTTAGCTCGGAGCTTTGTAAACCAGGTACTGTGTAGCGACTGGCGAAGCTGATGACTTTACATTCCTATACCTGTGGCTTGGCTTTTTCCCGGGAGGAGCAAGAGACCCTTCGTACTTGTGTGTCAGTGACCGAATTCCGCACACACAATTTGCACAACATTGACACAGCCAAGGAGGAAGTGGAAAACTCTCCTCTGATCTGTAATTGGCAGTGGGAATGGCTTTTAGTTAACAAGGTTTTTATAAATCACTCCAGTTATAGGCAACTCTTTGCAGAGGTTTGGCAAAGCTTTTATAGTCTTTAGACAAGGAGTAGACACAGTTCAGTACTCCAGGTGTTGTGGACCACACCTCACCTGATGCTTTTCCAGTATTATTTCTGTAAGATCACATTGGGAGATGTAGCTTACAACATTTGGAGTGCCAAAGTTTGCCTTGTTTAGACTAAACCTTTAACAGTGATGGCTAAAGTAGTTTGGGCTAGGAACAAGCATGGGAAGTCTTAATCCTCTCAGTGTTAGGTCCATATCTGGAGTAATTATCTTCTGTACGTTTTTGACATTTTAATGTTTATTTACCCCAGAAGTATTTTTTTTATTAAATAACAAAAACAATGCATATTCAATCAGCTTTCATCAGTGTAACAAGGTTATGAAAGTCACCATTTTGAATAATACCTTTTCAAATGTTACAACTCTTTGAGCAAATCTTCTTACATATGTTCCCAAGAATTCCTGTTTTTGTTCATACTTCCTGACTGGATTCATTCATTGATTCCGTAAGGTCACGAGAGGGCAAATTCTGGATTCTTCTGCATATTTATGTGCATATGCTCATTCCATTTCCATTTCAAGATGGCAAAATGGAAAACCTCAACTGTTGGGGCATCCTTGCCCTCTAATATCAGCAGTGAAGCACCATGACATCCACCACATCACGCACACACCAAAAGTTAGAAGGTCAGTGCCCTGGCAGAGTTAAAAAAATGACTGACTTCAGTGCTACTTCTCCTCATTTTCTTCACTGTTTGCAACCATCCAGCCTGACTAAAACTTTGCATTCCTAAGTTCCTAACCATGGAACTGATCTCCTGAGTTAGCCAAGGATAATTTGTTACTATTTGTGAGATATGTCTACCTTTTCATTTACAAGTGAACTAAAAACCAGAGATTGCAGCCATATCATATTCTCCACACATGTGAAAGATAGTAGCGTGCAATCCTCTGAAACGTGTTTTTTAAAATCACTATCAGGTATAAACTAAATTGGGGAATAAAGGTGAATTCAAAGTGAATTTCGAGGTAAAAGTAGCCAAACTGGTAATATTCTTTAAGTCAGCTATGTTTCCAGTTGGGCTTCTTTTTTTTTTTTAACTTTGAAATTCACGGTCAATTCTCACATTAGAAACTAACCTCGTATGCTTGGTGTTATTAGTGCTGGGGATGTGTAGACACAAAATTTAAACCCTGAGCAACCAAACTACAAATTATAAAATCACTCTCAAAAAACATACGTTGTCAAACAACCATTGCACAGTTTAGCCTTATTACACTGTTTTTTGTTGTATTTTAGCATTGTTCAATATTAAGATGCTACCAGTTAACATTACCAATGTACATAGGTTGTTTGCTAACTTGGACAAACGATAGATTTTTTTTTCAATTAGCTGTGTTCTTGAGATCTTACACTTAAATCATAGTTAATTAAATTGTAAACCCAAGCTACATGCCGGCCTTGACCATATCACTTTGAGTCCATTGTTCCCATGAAATACCAATGTAACATCCGTCTGTGATATTTCAATGTAAGCCCCAATGTCTGCAACATAATAAAGTAATTGAGGGATTGTATAATAACAATAGGACTATTGAGGGAAAAATTGTATCAACCTGCACAGAACATGCTGGCTATGACAGCTTTTCGAATAAAGTAATATTATTTTGAAAGTGTAGTGAAAGATAAAACATAAACAATCACAATTGCTGCATGTCCTTCATTCAATTTACATGTCAAGTAGACTTATATGAAATCTATATAAGTGTAAAAGGAAATGACTTTACCAGTAAAGTTATGGTAGGGGTATGGTTGAAAATAATGTAAGCAATTGGATTTGACTTTCAATTCACCTTGAATTCTCACTTTAGTGAATAACAATGATAAATAGATATGATGTTGTTATCACATGAAATAGGAAGAAACAGGAGAGAGACAAATGTGCCATCTCAAGACATCAAGAAATAAACCCTACACAAGTGATGTTTATTTGTGTGAATGCCACATATTTTAGTGTTAAGTGTTCCCGAAATGCAGTGGTTAGTACCTACCAAAAGTTGTGCAAGGAAAAATAACCAGTGAACTGGCATCAGCGTCAAGGTTGTCCAGAGCTCATAGATC